CACATTTGTGAGCTGTCATAGATCAGGGCAATATCATCAGCATACTCTAAGTCAAGAAGTCGTTCTCCTGGGAGTAGCTCCACACCTTCTAAATCGTGTCTTGTAAACGCCATTTCCATGACTTCGTCAACAGCGAGGTTGTAGAGGAAAGGTGAGAGCGGGCATCCTTGTCTCACGCCGCTGGAGATATGAAAGGGCGACGACAGCTTGCCGTAAGCCCTCACTCTGCCCGAGTTACACGCATATAATGCTCCGATAATATTCACATATTTCTCGGGCACAACTTTCCTGAGTAGACAGTCCCAAAGTGCATGTCTATCCACAGAATCGATTGCACCTTTGATATCGAGGATTATGACAATGGTGGGCCGTCAATATATGTGGCGGTTCTCCAACAACTGACGCAAGGTAAAGATGTAGTCAATGCAGCCACGAAATCCAGCTTGCTCTTCACGAATCTGGATTTCACGAGTGCCAGTCAGTGTGTGAAGCATGACAGAGGCAAGCAATTTGGAGGCGATGGAGATCAGACTGATTCCTCTATGGCCGCCGCATTCCGATGGTGAGCATCCTTTGAAAATTGGGACTATGATGGAGCGGCTCCAGTCGGTTGAGACAGTTTCCTGCTCCCACTTTTTGACTAGTAACTCGTGTGAATCATCCATAAGAGCAGGTCCCCCGAATTTGAAGAGGTCTGGAGGAGGATCACCTGGTCTCGCGGCTTTATTTAACTTCAACAGTCCGATCACAAGTTCGACTTCTAAGCGAGAGGGTGGATTCAAAGGGATAACCCAGGGGTGGGGCGATCAGTGTCCGGAGAGAAATCTAACCATTCCGACCGATTAAATTGCCTTTTATAGTCCGCAGCTCAACGATCTAAGCGTTTTGATAAGTTGTGGATAGGCTGTCCACTCTCGTCACGTATAGTTTCACTAACACCAGGTCTCATGCTGCCCGTTTCCCGTATCAGACGGAATAATTTACGATGGGCAGCGGCCAGTTTCATCTCTGATACACGATGAGACCACCAGGATTCGCGGTCTCTCTTCAGGCTAGCACGGAGTTTTGTCCGGAGCCCTTTGCGAGTTTCATTGTTTTCGCTTCCAGCCGGAATATGCTGGCGATTAAACACACCACATGAGGATTATCCTGCTGCAAGTAAGGTCTGGTGAATATGAGACCAGTGAGCTTCAATTGCATCCAGTAAGCGTTTATCCAACTCGCATGACAGCGTACTTTGAGAGGCATTCAGAACAACTGGTTTCGCCAGTTGGCCGGTGTCAATGCGCTCACAGCGTCCTCGTGGGCGTCCGCCAAAACGCATCCGAATGTCAGCACATACAAGTGCATGATCGTTGTCCACACCTGTGCTCCAAATTGAGCGACAGTTCTGGACGCAGCCTCTCCATCGATAACTGATTACAATGTGATCGATTTGCGTCCATAGCTGGTTCGAGGATGGTGGGCGCCAAGTCACCCTTCGGCGGGTGCTGTGTCGGAAATTAGTGCTCGCAAGAAATAAGCGAGCATCCTCACACAAATGAAGTAACCGCTCACCGTTATCCTTACGGGAGCCTATAACATGTTGGCCGCCCAGATGCAGCTCATCTGTGGATAATTTTCCAACTTGAGCTTTCAGAACGCCAGCCAGCACTACAGTGTCCGAGCTTCTTCGGTGTCTAAGGAGCTCGTTCAATTGACGATAGAAGTCGTCTTTTTCCGAGTCATCGCTACAGTTTGTCGGTGCGTAGGCAGAGATAACGAATAGTCACCTGTTAGTCCCACGTGACTTCGAAGCTTTGACCGAGCCAGCCAATCGGACCGCACACATCGGCTACTGATTGGAATCCAAACAACCAGAGTGGCTTCAGCCCGGGGACTCAGGGCAATACCAACACCGGCTTGGCCGGTGCTCGAAGCTGCATCGTCACCGTATAGGCGCAACGAGAAAGTGCTGCTAGAGTCACCTGAAGGGGATCGCAGAGTGAGCACAGAGCTCGAGTCTTGCAGGCGGGTCTGGAATAAGCAGCAGATATCGATCGAGAGGGTCTCTAAGGTTCGAGCAAGTGCTGCCTGTTGACCGAACTGAAGCAATGTGCGAACATTGAGGCATGCCAATCTGAAGGAGGGTCGACGGCTCCAAATGCAAGCCGATGAACTGGAATGGGCCGCTTGCTTGGACATGGGCCTGTTGACAGGGCAGGTATTACGCTCCGCGTGCACATGTGAATGGAAACTAAAAGGCAAGCGACTATTGAAGTAACGTGGGGGAGGGCCGCGCATTTGGGGGTTGAAAACATGGGGGATATAAGTGAAGCTGGAACGGGACGATAAGGGTGAAAAAGCGCAAGAGAGGGAATAAGAAAATGAGAAGGCTTGAGCAGTAGCATCCAAACCCCTATCTACCCTGCCCGATGCAGCAGATAGGGCACCGTTGATTATCCTCTGAGGAGGCCATAGCATCAGAAATTTGTTTGAAGTGTGATTCATTGTACTGTAAATAATGAGACAAAAACTGCGAAATGTAGACAGTGATGCATTCTCAGTCGCCTCCATTGGCCCGTTAAGCAGAACAACTTAAAGAGCAGTTTAGAAGGCATGCTGCGCATTGCCGCTTGCTGAATCACCTGAGCACCCATATGGTTGGCGGCATCCGGTTTCGGATTTGTCTGTCACTGTGGCCAGCCACAGGACGCCTGTACTTACAGAGCGACCATGGAAGCCTTGCACAGCACCATCCACAGCTCCAACCACACACCCCATACCTA